AAAAGAGTATGTTTATCTAATCATAATAAATGATCTATAATGAATGAATATTGCTATGCCATACTCAGCGAATATTGCTGAGCATGGCATAGCAATAATCATTCATATTGGTTCAAGCAAATAGAAGTGACAAAACCCTTTCCACATCCATAAGAAATATCTGCTAAAACCAGAGTCGATTGTACAGTTGTGACTATATCATGAGCATATATTTGTATAACCAGCATTACAGCTGAATGATGTTGTTTATAAACAAATCACATCTGGACCAGAAAATCCAGTGATTATCACCATGCGATACGATGACAGAGCATGTGTTTATGAATCACTATGAAATAAACAAAGCAAACCAGAGGTTGATAACATGAGCAATGGTTCACTACATCTGGGCACATGTAACTATTATCATCACAGATATTGACATTGCTAAAGACAAAACGTGGTATTCGATACTTTTTCAAATCAAGCATGAATGTCACTGGGTCTCTGTCACAGCAAAATTGTTTAAAGTTCAATATCTAGGGGACAATAGATTTACATACTGCAGGAACAAACATTGGGGCCCCAGTACCTTCGTGAAGTTTAAACTACACCCAGGATCTAACAAGTCTGTAACCCTGCAGGAGTGAACCCTACTCTAGATAATGGTAGTGCTGCAACAATCTCTTTTCTTATGATACACATATTGACACACATTTTACAGAATTTATAAATGCAACTGTGGATTGAGACCTCTCGTAAATATTGGCAGAAAAACTTTCACATAATATTACAAAATCACCTTTACATATATTTGTGTAGTTTTGTGAAAGAATAGCAATGAAAGAAACATCCGTTGAATCATTACACCCCGAGATAGCAGCATACAGGTGTTGAGGCTTTCATCTACCTGACAATCTTGACCAGCCCCGACATATTAAACATTTGTTAGCCTGTTATGATATGGCCGGTGCTGGGTTGTGATGTCTGCCTCCCACCTAAGTCACAGATTGAACGTCATGGTCTTATTAAACATTTGTCAGCTTCTTGGTGTGGCATGGCTATTGCTGAGCATTGAATATGAAGTTTGCCTCCAGACTGTGTCCCTGACTTTCTTAAACACATGAAGCAGCTGTTCAGCTGTTGGTGTAACATGGCTCCTGCTGGTTTGTGATGGGTGCCTCCAATATGTGTCACTGACCATTTCAAACATATGAAGCAGCTTGTGACATTCCTAGTGCTGGTCCTTGATGTCTGCCTCCAATATGTGTCACTAATCATCTTGGACACATGAAGCAGCTGTTCAGCTGTTGGTGTGACATGGCCTGTGTTGGTCCTTGATGTCTGCCTCCAATATGTGTCACAGACCATCTCACACACATGAAGCAGCTGTTCAGCTGTTGGTGTGACATGGCCTGTGTTGGTCCTTTTGACGTCTGCCTCCAATATGTGTCACAGACCATCTCAGACACATGAAGCAGCTGTTCAGCTGTTGGTGTGACATGGCCTGTGTTGGTCCTTGACGTCTGCCTCCAATATGTGTCACAGACCATCTCACACACATGAAGCAGCTGTTCAGCTGTTGGTGTGACATGGCCTGTGTTGGTCCTTGACGTCTGCCTCCAATATGTGTCACAGACCATCTCAGACACATGAAGCAGCTGTTCAGCTTTAGGTGTGACAGTCATAGTGCTGGGCCTTGAAGTCTGCCTCAAATATGTGTCACAGACCATCTCAGACACATGAAGCAGCTGTTCAGCTCTTGGTGTGACATGGCTAATGCAGGACCTTCGCAGCTGCCTCCAATATGTGTCCCTGACCATCTCACACACATGAAGCAGCTGTTCAGCTCTTGGTGTGACATGGCTAGTGCTGGGTTGTGACGTCTGCCTCCAATATGTGTCCCTGAACATCTCAGACACATGAAGCAACTGTTCAGCTCTTGGTGTGACATGGCTAATGCAGGACCTTTACAGCCTGCCTGCACATGTGTCACCTGCCTCCAATATGTGTCCCTGACCATCTCACACACATGAAGCAGCTGTTCAGCTCTTGGTGTGACATGGCTAGTGCTGGGTTGTGACGTCTGCCTCCAATATGTGTCCCTGAACATCTCAGACACATGAAGCAACTGTTCAGCTCTTGGTGTGACATGGCTAATGCAGGACCTTTGCAGCTGCCTCCAATATGTGTCCCTGACCATCTCACACACATGAAGCAGCTGTTCAGCTCTTGGTGTGACATGGATAGTGCGGGGTTGAGAGGTCTGCCTCCAATATGTGTCCCTGACCATCTCAGTCACATGAAGCAGCTGTTCAGCTCTTGGTGTGACATGGCTAGTGCTGGGTTGTGACGTCTGCCTCCAGTATGTGTCACTGACCATCTCAGACATATGAAGCAGCTGTTCAGCTGTTGGTGTGACATGGCCAGTGCTGGGTTGTGACGTCTGCCGCCAACATGTGTCCCTGACCATCTCAGACATATGAAGCAGCTGTTCAGCTGTTGGTGTGACATGGCCAGTGCTGGGTTGTGAGGTCTGCCTCCAGTATGTGTCACCGACCATCTCAGACACATGAAGCAGCTGTTCAGCTGTTGGTGTAACATGGCTAGCGCTGGGTTGTGAGGTCTGCCTCCCATCCACATCCCCTGTCACCAATGCCTGTCAGTTACACCAAAGTGCACGTTTACACAATACCAGGCTGTAAAGCTGACAACATCTACATCAGAAGTATTTTCGTGTATATCCATGCACCAGAATCATCTGACATAAACACACATCAGTTCTACATGAAAGATTTAATGGCAAAGAACTTTTTGTTATTAAAATGCAGAACATCATATAAAGGTTAGATCTATCATTCGGCAGAAAACACTTTCGTCATATCCTGTCAACAAATAGTTGAATCAGTGGTATTGTGTGCCTGCAGTAAAACATCGCAACTGAAAGTCTTTTTACTAAAATTGTATTCAAATAATACACTTATCTGCAAGGCTCAGAAGAAGTTTTTAAAGAAGTTTTTAAAGATGTTTTATACATATCTTCATCCAGAGGAAAACAGATAGCAAAATGAAGCATTAAATCAATAACACTGTAAATTGTATTTCCTTAATTCCTTTCACAGACCAGCTTCAGCATTATTAGCTGAGTAAGCGTTTTTCACCCCTGACAGCTCACAAGTATATGCCATACTACCAGGAAGTCACTCCAGCTTGTGGGTGGTGCAACAGTCAAAGGAAGTAACCCTTGTGCTATGAACAAAAGGTCAACAAGTGGAATATTTATGCTGTTTTGTGCAGGTGAGGTGAGGTGAGGTGAGGTGAGGTGAGGTGAGGTAAGGTGTGCTGGACGAAATGGTGTTTTACTTTGCGGTCATGATTATTATTTCAGGGTGTGAAACTCCCAAAACTTTCAGACAGACCACAGGGATGGTTATATGTAAAACTTGCCATCCCTGACCAAAACTTACCTGCCGACAAAATATCTGCATATACATGTCTAAATTTTACCCTGACCGTCGGGCAGGTGAATTTGAGAATCTGGCAGTCCGTGTTATAATTAACCCATCCCGGGCGGTCGGACAGGCAGGTATTTCGAACGCTGCTAACATGATGATGAGTTTACATGTGTGCAATGTGCATGCATGTGCTTATACCTGTGCTTGTTTTATTGTGCTAGTCATCTTAACAAGAATACCCTACCCTTGAGTTGAACTGTTTTACCTATAAATACAACCTGCCAGGCAGGGAAACAAGGAGTACCATTGTTTAATGTCCTTTGATGTGTGTCTGGGGATCGAACCAGGGATCCTTCCTCTCTTCAAGCAGATGTTCTATCCACTTACAAGACAACAGATGGATCTCTGGAGACTCAGTAACGGCAGAATTAGAAATCTGCACAAATCCTTCATTATCCACGCTGGCTTGTACCATGTGGAATATTTACATGCCATGATAAACCTCAGCTAGAAGATAATAACCAGTTGTATGAGAATATCATACTCAGGCCCATGGATACTCATGGGGGAAAAACAGAGAAACAGAACCAGGGGATAACATACAGAATCAGTTCCAGGGGATAACATACTCACTGAATAACGTTCCTGGGGATAACATACAGAATCAGTTCCAGGGGATAACATACTCACTGAATAAGTTCCTGGGGATAACATACAGAATCAGTTCCAGGGGATAACATACTCACTGAATAAGTTCCTGGGGATAACATACAGAATCAGTACCAGGGGATAACATACTCACTGAATAAGTTCCTGGGGATAATATACTCAGAATCAGTTCCAGGGGATAACATACAGAATCAGTTCCAGGGGATAACATACTCACTGAATAAGTTCCTGGGGATAACATACAGAATCAGTTCCAGGGGATAACATACACTGAATAAGTTCCTGGGGATAACATACAGAATCAGTTCCAGGGGATAACATACAGAATCAGTTCCAGGGGATAACATACAGAATCAGTACCAGGGGATAACATACTCACTGAATAAGTTCCTGGGGATAACATACAGAATCAGTTCCAGGGGATAACATACAGAATCAGTTCCAGGGGATACCATACTCACTGAATAAGTTCCAGGGGATAACATACAGAATCAGTTCCAGGGGATAACATACTCACTGAATACGTTCCTGGGGATAACATACAGAATCAGTTCATGGAGATAACATACTCACAGAATCAGCCCAAGGAGAAAACATTCGATGGAAAACGTTCCAGGGCATAAGATCATGGAAACAAACCAAAGACATGATGAAACTCCTTAGGGATGACAAGAACATCATGTTCATGCCAGTATAGAACATTCTCATACAAACAGTTCCATGACACAATATACAGATGCCCCAAAATTCCATGTATTTACATATTTCTCCATAATCGTCCTAATGGTAGCATATACTCAAAGAGAAAGATCTGTAGATGACCATCATGAAAACATTCTAGACTTTGAGAACCAGATCAGGAGAGATTTGAAACTAGTTCTCTGTTCAAACTCCTACCTGTCATAACTTGTTCCACAGTGATGTTAACCTGGCTGCCATCCACGGCAATCTGCTGCCCATCAATGGTGATGTGTTGCCCATCATCCACTGCTATCTGTTGTCCATCGATAGTGATGTGCTTGCCATCCACTGACAAGGTGGAAGGGATCTGGATGGTGGCCTGACTGGTGCCTCCCGAGGACGTGGCAATAGCAAGAGCCTGCTCTATCATCAGCACCTCACAGGTGTCCTTCTGGTGGTCCTGTAGGGAAGACATGAAGTCAGTCATCAACATAGTAATGTTTATTTGTTCATTACAACATCTGGCTGACCACTTTCACTTGAAATGAAAAAAGGTCAGTCACTGGGTTTGGTTATTCATAGTAACATACAATGTACAACATTCTATATTGATTAACATGCTTAAGTGAACAAAAACACAGTTCGTGAGGCATCACATTTTCACTATCTAATGCAATTTCTTCATTAAATGTCTGATTAATTTCTTGAAAATTAATCATAACTCCTGATTGAAAAACATGTAGGCCTGGGTTTCACAAATGGAGCATAAATGTTCAGGCCTGAACTTTCCAAGGTTATGTGTGGAACTATGGAATGTCTGTATTTTACAATGGCATGTGTGGAGTTGCTTGGAATGTCTTTATTTTACAAAGCATGTGTGGAACTATGGAATGTCTGTATTTTACAAGGGTATGTGTGGAACGGCTTGGAATGTCTGTATTTTACAAGGGCATGTGTGGAACTGCTTGGAATGTCCGTATTTAACAAGGGCATGTGTGGAACTGCTTGGAATGTCCGTGTTTACAAGAACTTCAAAGAACATCTGCACTTTAGAATAACTACATGGAATGTCCGCATTTTACAAGGGTATGTGTGGAACTACATGGAATGTCTGTATTTAACAAGAGCATGTGTGGAACTGCTTGGAATGTCTGTATTTTACAGGAACTTCAAGGACCGTCTGCATTTTACAAGAACTACATGGAATGTCCGTAATTAACAAGGGCATGTGTGAAACTGCTTGGAATGTCTGCACTTTAGAAGAACTACATGGAATGTCCGTATTTTACGAGTGCAAGGGTGGAACAGCTTGGAATGTCCGTATTTAACAAGGGCATGAGTGGAACTGCTTGGAATGTCCGTATTAAACAAGGGCATGAGTGGAACTGCTTGGAATGTCCGTATCTTACAAGGGTATGTGTGGAACTACATGGAATGTCTGTATTTAACAAGGGCATGAGTGAAACTGCTTTGAATGTCTGTATTTTACAAGAACTACATGGAATGTCTGTATTTTACAAGAACTACATGGAATGTCCATATCTTACAAGGGCATGTGTGCAACTGCTTGGAATGTCTGTATTTTACAAGAACTTCAAGGACCGTCTGCATTTTAGAAGAACTACATGGAATGTCCGTATTTTACAAGGGCATGTGTGGAACTGCTTGGAATGTCCATATCTTACAAGGGTATGTGTGGAACTGCTTGGAATGTCTGTATTTTACAAGAACTACATGGAATGTCTGTATTTTACAAGAACTACATGGAATGTCCATATCTTACAAGGGTATGTGTGGAACTGCTTGGAATGTCTGTATTTAACAAGGGCATGAGTGGAACTGCTTGGAATGTCTGTATTAAACAAGGGCATGAGTGAAACTGCTTGGAATGTCCGTATCTTATAAGGGTATGTCTGGAACTACATGGAATGTCTGTATTTAACAAGGGTATGTGTGGAACTGCTTGGAATGTCTGTATTTTACAAGAACTTCAAGGACCGTCGGCATTTTAGAAGAACTACATGGAATGTCTGTATTTTACAAGGGCATGTGTGGAACTGCTTGGAATGTCCATATCTTACAAGGGTATGTGTGGAACTGCTTGGAATGTCTGTATTTTACAAGAACTTCAAGGACCGTCTGCATTTTAGAAGAACTACATGGAATGTCTGTATTTTACAAGGGCATGAGTGGAACTGCTTGGAATGTCCATATCTTACAAGGGTATGTGTGGAACTGCTTGGAATGTCCATATCTTACAAGGGTATGTGTGGAACTGCTTGGAATGTCTGTATTTTACAAGAACTACATGGAATGTCTGTATTTTACAAGAACTACATGGAATGTCCATATCTTACAAGGGTATGTGTGGAACTGCTTGGAATGTCTGTATTTTACAAGAACTACATGGAATGTCTGTATTTTACAAGAACTGCATGAATGTCCATATTTTACAAGAACTGCATGGAATGTCTGTATTTTAGAAGGGTACGTGTGGAACTACATGTATGTCCATGTTTTACAATGGTAGAACCAGTGCATGGAATTCATACACTTGTGTTTAAGTGCTTTAATATGATCAGTTTAAACCCTTTGAAACCTGACAAGCTGATGTTGAGGTCATCTCATTTCTATCAACTGTTACTTCTTCAGCTCAGCAGGGACTGATGTATTTTCTTAAAAGAATTTTGCATAGCTGAAAAAATTCAGCCGAACATCCAGATTATTTCACAGTTTTCTTTTCCAAAATCTGTGGAACAAGCTAGGATTATAACAGGCTTATGTTTTTAAGACTAAAAAAATAATGATTTCATGTTTCTCTTAAAATTCCAATTCACAGCCTAAGTATATTATTTCAAGTGCAGCTTCTCAGAAAGCAGCTCTGTCTGGTGATGAGTTCCCCAATTGGTGTCCCTCTCGGTCTCTGCCAGATGTAATCACTATCCCCTACTATCCCTGTATATCTCTGTCACTACTGCTTCCTATTCCCTACCTTCTGTATATGTCTCTGCCAGATCTGCTCCCTAGTACCCAACCATCCTAGTATGTCTGTAAGATATGCTCGCTAGTCCGCAACCATCCTTGTATGTCTGTCAGATCTGCTTGCTCCCTATTCTATACCTTCCCTGAAAGTATCTGCCAGATCTACCTGCTCCTCTACCCTCCTTCTATGCCTCTTGCAGATCAGCTCCCAATTCCCCCACCCTCCCTGTACACCTGCCAGATCTACCAGCTCCCTAAACCTCCCTGTAAATCTCTGTCACACAACCCTGCTTTGTTCCTCCTACACCCTCAATATATCTCCACCAGACCTGCCTGTCCCCTGGTCCTCCCTGTAAATCTCTGTCACACAACCCTGCTGTGTTCCTCCTACACCCTCTATATATCTCCACCAGACCTGCCTGTCCCCTGGTCCTCCCAGTAAATCTCTGTCACACAACCCTGCTGTGTTCCTCCTACACCCTCAATATATCTCCACCAGACCTGCCTGTCCCCTGGTCCTCCCTGTAAATCTCTGTCACACAACTCTGCTGTGTTCCTCCTACACCCTCAATATATCTCCACCAGACCTGCCTGTCCCCTGGTCCTCCCTGTAAATCTCTGTCACACAACCCTGCTGTGTTCCTCCTACACCCTCTATATATCTCCACCAGACCTGCCTGTCCCCTGGTCCTCCCTGTAAATCTCTGTCACACAACCCTGCTGTGTTCCTCCTACACCCTCAATATATCTCCACCAGGCCTGCCTGTCCCCTGGTCCTCCCTGTAAATCTCTGTCACACAACTCTGCTGTGTTCCTCCTACACCCTCAATATATCTCCACCAGACCTGCCTGTCCCCTGGTCCACCCTGTAAATCTCTGTCACACAACCCTGCTGTGTTCCTCCTACACCCTCTATATATCTCCACCAGACCTGCCATGCACCACTGGCTTCTATTGCAATGTAATAATCTCCAGTTTACGGAAGCACGAAAACACCAAATATGCACATTTTCTTTGAAATGTAACTTAACCTACAGACTCTTAATTCATTAGGTTTAAAACCTATCTCGGTGCCATGTCTTAAGCAGCCGATTGGCTGTCTGGGCCTCTCAGCACGTGGCATACTCCTCTGCAGAATTTGTTCAACACAAAAATTGTCAATGAAATTCACAAAATGTCCACATGCACAAAGAATCCACTTGAGTCTGTAAAGGACTGGCAGCTGGAATTGTCATCCAACCCCGACCAGGACATATTTACCAGAGATTATACCAGCTGTGATAGAATGTGACGACTCATCACTTTCCTTCAATATAAGCCTTTCAAACCCATTACCCTAACTACACAGCCATAGCAGATCATCATCAAATCTCCGCAGCTTGTATCTTATGTTTCAACATATTTCAAGAAAAAAGAGGAAAATCATAACTTTTCTTGTAATCTGAAACAGTTCTGGGAAATTATACATGGATTTTCTTCTTCTAATATGTATCCTCAAACATGTATGGTCTCGTAAAAACTGTCCATTCATCACTTTTCCTTTCATCTTGACAAAAATACAGATCGTGCTTTTATCGGGACATCTCTGTAATCCCTCAATAACAGCTTCAGAAACTGTATGCTCTGGACGTAGAGTGTGGTATTTGTATGTGAAACTGAAATCATGATCTTCAAGAACTTTTCTTATCAAACTGATAATTGTCTTATATATTAGTAAGATATTAATGCTTGGTTCAACCTTAGACACAGTTGGGTAGGGAAATATTGATTGTCTTTTAATATTCGAAGTCAACTATCCTCAGGTCCAAAGAGGGGAAACACCAGCCCATTAGGTGCTCTTCAGGTAAGAAGGGTTGTAACAACGTCCCCTGGGTAAGAAGGGTTGTCATGACTCCCCTGGGAGAAAACAGTTGTTATGACTCCCCTGGGTGAGAAGGGTTGTCATGACTCCCCTGGGTGAGAAGGGTTGTCATGACTCCTGGGTGAGAAGGGGAGTGAGTTGCAGTATTACACGATATCAGTGGGCAGGCCAGGAAATCTGTGTCCACTAGACACAACATGAACACAACATTCAGCATTGTGATGGGGACCGACTGTTTTCACAAATAACCACCTATATTTACCACCTGTTATGTCTCTATCAAATATCAGTGAATAATTCAAAACAAAAAGAGCAAATCTAACATTCTTAATCCTCAAGCAATACGTAACCAAAACAATAGCGATCTCGTAACAATGCCGATTAGGACCCTGGCAAATAGTTTCTGCACCTTTGCCCCATCACACGTTCAATGTTACGCCCCAAGTAGCGACACATGTGCATGACTTCCTCAGAGCGCCACCTACCCTCAGCAGAGCCTCGGACTTGAACGCGGAACCACATTTGTCGCAGACCAAGGTCTTTATATCAGCATGTTTCCTTTCAATGTGTTTACGGATATCGGTGAAGGTGTACCCATAGAAGTCACACACGCCACACTTGTAGTCTCTCTGACCGTTGTGTCTGGAAGCAAACAAAAAAAAAAAAAATCCATTAGAATTTCATGTCAACATTTCTTCACAAATAACAAACATTAAATACACAGACATATTCAGGTCAGAAATAAATGAAATCAGTTATAATCCATGCTTCAAAAAACCACATCTGATGACATATACAATGACTAAAAACATTAGCAGTGAAAGTTGTGTGATCTAATCTAGTCTTTTTATATAACTTCACAGAAATTCAGATATTATAGACTGTGATAAAGTCAGTATGAGAATAATTCAGCAGGTGAGACCTCTACTTCAAAATAGAACATATATTTCTTATTCAAGAAACAGTCTAACGCACGGGTGGTCAGGCTAGCTGACTTGGTTGACCCGTGTCATTGGTTCCCAATTGCGCAGATCGATGCTCATGCTGTTGATCACTGGATTGTCTGGTCCAGACTCGATTATTTACAGACCACTGCCATATGGCTGGAATATTGCTGAGTGCGGCGTAAAACTAAACTCACTCACTCACTCATGTCTTGAAACTATTTAAACATAGGATCAGGTCCTATTCCCCATCAAACTGCTAAAAGCAACTTTGTAGAGCTGATCTCATCCAGTTCTCTATTTTGTTAAATTCAAATGTTATGTGAGAAATCTAAATGCACTTGCTTTAAATATTTCTATGTTATTCCCAGGAGTTTGAGTATCAGAGAAAATTAAGAATATGTATACATATAAATAATAAGCTTTAAATGCTCAATTTTAGAAAATTACCATTAATTTAATCTAAAAATATGTTAAAATGTTTCCCAAACGAAAGAAATAAGAACTTAATGTTTATATTCAAATTTATTTTTAAAAGAAGAACATTTTTTATGAATTTGCCTGTTAGGGATACTTAGTTTAGAATACTGAATAACCTCCCTGTGGCCTTAAAAAGAAATGTTTAAACTGACTGTAACCTCCTCTGTGCCTATCTCAGGCCTTCTGTGCCTATCTCATGCCTACAATCTTCAACTAACCCTGCACTGTTTACATAGAACTGTAACAAAGAAACTAACACCATCCTCATGTGCAGCTTTTACCCCGACCCAACTATAGTGCCATTTAATGTGGAAACGATGCTAACGTCCGGTATTAACACCAGACAAGACCAGCGTGTGTGGAAGAAGCCGGTGGTTGATAGCCCCGAGTCGCGGAGTTTAACCGTCCACACACATTCACCCATAGTCTCCTCTCACACCTGTAAGCATTCCTACTGGGCTTGGTAGGCAGAAAATAGGCACTTGAAATGTGAAGCACTAGGTCATATTGTGTCCATCTCCGCCAACAGGAAGTGACATATTGGTCAAAGGTTACATCAAAGGTCAGGTAATGGCCAGTAAGTAAGCAGGAAATGGTCACTCGGCCAGTATGAGCAGTATCAGGTGTCAGGATGTACAATATGCACCGGTAATGACCAACCTTGTATGACTACAATAAGCCTTAGTCTTGCAATGATAATTAGTGTACTACATATACACTGAGAGACATATCTGGCCTTGCTCAGAGGCCAATATTAAACCCCAAGTTTTATACAAACGTCAGTAAAACAGTGAAAAGTTCCCTAACTGGAATTAAGTTATATTTTATAAATTCTCTAGAGAGATGACTTCCATTTCATGGATAACAGGGACAGTTAACAAGACGAGGCAATGTATAATGTATAATTTTATATTTTTGAACTGAATGAAACAAATAAAAAAATATATATAAAATATATATATAACATATCCTGAATATAAGAATGCAACATATTTTAAGAATTTCAATTTTCCCCAGTTTTGTTGGTCAGGGGGCTGGAATCCTAGAAAATCCATTTAAATAATTTGAATGATTTAATAAATTTTCTTTAAAGAATTGTTTACAAAAGTGAAGGTGTTTTTTGAAGTGTCAAGTCAATGACATAAAAAAAGGGTAATTTGTCTATTTAAAAAATACTGTTAACTTTGACATCTGAAGAGGAAAAGACGAAAGTTGATATTTCCTGTCTGGGATGTTCCCCTGACATTCACTAACATTCCGTTTCTCCTCATTTAAATTTATAATCTTTCATTCAAATTCATTTGATTAAAAATAAGTTTAATATTTTTTAAATATTCTCTTGATCCATAAAATGGGACTGAATGTCATTATATATAGTGATATTTCTCATTTACCCCAAATATATTTTTTGCTGACTTCTCAATATTCAGAAGAAAGGGGAAGTAATGAAGATTGTTTCCTGATGGCGGAGCTTTTTTCACATGCTCCTGTATCTTGGAATAGAACTTTCATAAGAGGGGGTCAAAATGTGTTGTCAATTTACGCCATGTGAGTGAACTGGCGAACTACCCCTCAGGACGTGAAATACAAATATCAAAATATTTCCCAAATGTGGATGAAAATTTCTCAAAATATTTACATTTGGCATTACGTGTGATTAGCTGTATCGTGTTGATCTGGCTATAGAGACCAATGTGTACTTACTGTCAACCAACAACGGAGAAATACACATTTCAAAACCACACCCTCACATCCACACTAAGCCCCGAAATAGCAAACCTTTTAAAAGTAATTCAAAAGTTCACGAAAAATGCCATTTCACATCACAATGCTTTTGATTTGTTTAACAGTTCTCGCCCACTTCTCAATCCTTTACTTCAAATATTATGTAAGTAATTTAAAATCCATTTGTTTTATATATATCCATGTAGTTCTTTTTACAAACTTGAAAAAGGCCTGACCATTACCTGTGAAAACATTATGACACATGGCGACACATGTAGGAGGTCAAAACATGAAGTCTTTATGAAATATTTCAACTTTTCCTCGGTGCGTTCTGGGGGAGTGTAAACTATCATGAAAGCAATTTAAAATACATTTGTGATAATTATAGCCCAGTAACGTTTCTTTTCAAATGAGAAAAATAACCCTGAGATCTCACAGGCCACGTGATATTGTTATGCGGTTTCCAAAAATTGCTGAAAGCTGAATAAACCAATACGATAGATCATAAATCATATATTTGGCACTTTAATCTTGAAAATTTATGTGGGGAAAAAAACCACCCACCCAAAAATCCCTTTCTTTGCACCAATAATTGCAATAATTGTTGAAGTGGCTGTTTGAGCTACCCCGATAGTATTACTTTAAAGGTCCTAATCTCGTACATTAGTGAAGAAAGTCAATGTAACAATCTACCTTAGTAAGGAAAGTCCCATGTAGCTATGTACCTTAGTAAAGAAAGTCCCATGTTGCTATCTACCTTAGTAAAAAAAGCCCCATGGACCTATCTACATTAATAAAGAAAGTCCCATGTAGCTATCTACCTTAATAAAGAAAGTCCCATGGACCTATCTACATTAATAAAGAAAGTCCCATGTAGCTATCTACCATAATAAAGAAAGTCCCATGGACCTATCTACCTTAATAAAGAAAGTCCCATGGACCTATCTACATTAATAAAGAAAGTCACATGTAGCTATCTACATTAATAAAGAAAATCCCATGGACCTATCTACATTAATAAAGAAAGTCCCATGGACCTATCTGCATTAATAAAGAAAGTCCCATGTAGCTATCTGCATTAATAAAGAAAGTCCCATGTAGCTATCTACATTAATAAAGAAAGTCCCATGTAGATATCTACCATGGACCTATCTACATTAATAAAGAAAGTCCCATGTAGCTATCTACCATGGTAAAGAAAGACCAATGCAGCTATCTACCTTAGCAAAGAATTCTCATGTCGCTATCTATCTTAGTAGAGAAAGTCTCATGTAGCAGTCTAACTATCTACATTAGTAAAGAAAGTTTCATTCCGCTATCTACCTTAGTAAAGAAAGTCTGGCCCAGTGATATCATGCAAGACAAAAGTTCTGTACCACTGACAGTTAGAATACAAAACATATAGTCCCTCCTGGTTTAATGACAACACTTCCAGTTCGGGAAAATATAGGGCCAGTGTGGAACAAGTATGACACAAAGTTGCATGCCATAAGCTACGTCTAAAACTAAGCCACAAGCACTTCCATGTTCATGCCATTTTGTTTGGGTTCTAAATTGTTTTTTAAATATATTTTTCACTACAGTGAACAAATATAAGTCCTGTTGTGTTGCCTCATATCATACAAAAAATTAGATCTCAAGACATTTTGGTTTCTTTGAAGAAAAAACAAACCCTAAAAAATACATCGCTTCTGACGCGCTGTGATATAAGTGGAATACTGTTCAATGCAGCATTAAACCCAACTCACTCACTCACATCACCCTTCCGATGTATCCCTTAGGGCAGGCCAGAGAAGAAGATTAAACAATGTTTACAGGGGTGGAAATAACTTTAAAATTGATAGTGTACTCCGGTACAGTGGCACATGTAAAGTCACTTGCCCTGATAATTTTTCCACTATACCAACTGTATTCTTGCTGATTTTTTAAATAAACAACATAATTAACATTGGAAAGGCAACTGGACACCGGTACGTGATATACAAATTTGCTTGCCCGAGAGAAAAAAACACTGGACTCGGACGTCGGGCAATGGGTTATTTCCACTCCTGGTTTAGATTGCCATAAGCACACTTATTTTTCCACTGAGCTAGGAATTCTCATTCACTAAAATCTAAAGTTGGATTCTCCGTAAATCCAATCCAATCCTTACTGTAGGTGCAGCAGATGATTGTCATCACCACTCTAATAACGTGTGATTAATGTACCAGTGAAATGCATGAGGAGATCTGCTCAATTTTACAGCATGCACATGGAGTAAGGTGCTGCTCCAAACACGGAACTGGAGTGTTGTAAGTGACATGCTAGTGTAGGGAAAGTGACAGGAACTAGCCCTGCTGACAGGTGTACCTCTTCACGTGGAGCTCCTTGTTCTTCACATGGCGGAAGGCCTTGCCACAGACTTCACAGACATGCTTGGGGTCCTGGTGTATCAGCAGATGCTTGGAGATGTCAGACCGTTCACAGCCCCTAGAACCACAAACAGACAGGACAATAGTACTAGCATACACATCTCAAGAATGACAAACAGGCCGTATAATCCTACAGACATACACATCCCTAGGACAAACAGACAGCACAATCCTACAGACATAAACATCCCTAGAAGGACAAACAGACAGTACAATCCTACAGACATACACATCCCTAGGACAAACAGACAGTACAATCCTACAGACATACACATCCCTAGGACAAACAGACAGTACAATCCTACAGACATACAGACATCCCTAGGACAAACAGACACAATCCTACAGACATACACATCCCTACAGTACATCCTACACACATCACCTAGGACAAACAGACAGTACAATCCTACAGACATAAACACACAAACAGACAGTACTACAGACACACATCCCTAGGACAAACAGACAGTACAATCCTACAGACATACACATCCCTAGGACAAACAGACAGTACAATCCTACAGACATACACATCCCTAGGACAAACAGACAGTACAATCCTACAGACATACACATCCCTAGGACAAACAGACAGTACAATCCTACAGACATACACATCCCTAGGACAAACAGACAGTACAATCCTACAGACATAAACATCCCTAGGACAAACAGACAGTACAATCCTACAGACATAACACATCCCTAGGACAAACAGACAGTACAATCCTACAGACATACACATCCCTAGAAGGACAAACAGACAGTACAATCCTACAGACATACACAGGACCCTAGGACAAACAGACAGTACAATCCTAGGACAAACACAGTACAATCCTACAGACATACACATCCCTAGGACAAACAGACAGTACAATCCTACAGACATAACACATCCCTAGGACAAACAGACAGTACAATCCTACAGACATACACATCCCTAGGACAAACAGACAGTACAATCCTACAGACATAAACACATCCCTAGGACAAACAGACAGTACAATCCTACAGACATACACATCCCTAGGACAAACAGACAGTACAAGACAGACATACACATCCCTAGGACAAACAGACAGTACAATCCTACAGACATACACATCCCTAGGACAAACAGACAGTACAATCCTACAGACATAACACATCCCCCTAGGACAAACAGACAGTACAATCCTACAGACATAAACATCCCTAGGACAAACAGACAGTACAATCCTACAGACATAAACATCCCTAGGACAAACAGACAGACAGTACAATCCTACAGACATAAACATCCCTAGGACAAACAGACAGTACAATCCTACAGACATAAACATCCCTAGGACAAACAGACAGTACAATCCTACAGACATAAACATCCCTAGGACAACAGACACATCCTACAGATAAACATCCCTAGGACAAACAGACAGGACAAACAGACAGTACAATCCTACAGACATACACATCCCTAGACAGGACAAACAGACAGTACAATCCCTACAGGCATACACATACCCTGCTCAGACATAAACTAGACAGTACAATCCTACAGACATAAACAGAACAGACAGTACAATCCTACATTTACATTTCAGTTTTAACTGAAGGCTCTGTACCTCATCTGAGTTTTACAGACATACATATCCTGCTCAGGGAAATATTTACAAGGCTCTGTGAGTTTTAATTGAATATTAAACAAAGTTGTCAAGATGAAAAGTAACAATACAAAACAACCTGAATGTTTCACCTTCATGTCGTAGCTGGGTTAAAAATTACAATGAAAAAGAGACATTTCAACCAGAAAGTTGGACTGAAATTAATATAACCTCCATACATAAAAGAATATATTATGACCTTCACATGAACTTTTATTTGAATGTATTTCAGACGCTATTTGCGACATGTGCAAAATATACATATTGTGAATGAACAAATGCAAATGAATACATTTGTCATCCAAAAGCTTAAAGTGATATTAAAATATATAAAGCGTGTCCATTTTACAGCAATTTTGAGCTAAATAAAAATTCTTTCCTTTCATCTCAGAAATGACAGTGAGAAGTATATCCGCCTATGCACTCCTATATGTCACAGGTAGGCACAATTTCTTTTGAAATATTGTGTAAGGCTTCAGCTACCTTGAGAGTTAAAACATGAATATTAATGACTTTCGTGTTTCATGAATGAATTGACATTATACATGCCCTATTTGTCATGGAATGAACCCAAGTGTCAAGAGCAGCAGGGAAGAATAGAAAGACTCAAAGACAGAAAAGAAAGTACAGCATAACAGATTAAAAGTAAACAAGCATTGTCACTAAGGTGACATAATCCCCCGCCGCAAATTATCAAATCAAACTTATAAAGTAATGAAAGTTTAAGTTAAATGTCAACAAAAACATGACCAGTCAACCTCTCTTGATGTCTTGCTCTTTAGGTGTTCAAACACACACATATTTTCAAGACTGACTCTGACATGAATGTCATAGTGTATGAAATATGCAAAAATAGTACTAAAGAAATTGCTTTTGAAAAAACATTTAAGGGAAGTCTTGAAAGTCTTTGAAGAAGATCCAGTGAACTGTTTTTGAAATATCTTGCTGACAATTCAGGTTTACATGCTCAAATCTTCAAAGTGTCTCTGTGACCTTGAAAATTAAGTGAAGGTCACCAAAATCGACTGGGCTCTGCGCCTTCCCTAGATAAAGCGTTGTATTGAATATGAAGAAAATACAGTGAACGGTTCTTGAGATAGCTTAACATGCAGGTAAAACATTGAAGTCCCCTTGTGACCTTGAAATTAAGGTCAAGGTCACCAAACCTTACTTAGGCCTTTCTTATACTGTGATAAACCTAGGTACCAATTATGAAAAGAATCTAGTGAACGGTTCTTAAGATATTCCAATTCGTACATACGTACGGACGGACGGACGGAGCCTAATACTAAACACGCGGCGGAGGATAAAAAGAGAGTCAAGGAGACAAAAGAGAGGCGTTGACAGACATAAATTAAACCAAACGACAGCCTGAATGACTGTGGATTGTTGCTGCTTTTATCAATAAGAGTCCAGCAATATCATGGTGGCAGATACCAGAAATAGGCTTCGATCAGGGAAATCGAACCAGGGTCTTCAGCGTGATGAGTAAACTCTTCAACCAATAGCAAGGTATGAATTGATTTTAAAAAGTCTCTGGCCAGGATGGTTAGTTAAGTAAAAATGTTGCTACCCTACATCATACTTCTTCACTGGCCCTGCAAAATATCAATATCAAAATGCACATCAGTCAGAATTAGTGTGATGTTTGGTAATTGAAGATGGTAAGTTACTGTTGCACCGAAGAAACAATATCAATCAAACAAACACCAAAAATTCTTTCTATCTGAGATTTTCAGCTGGCCAGTCAGGATAGCTTTAACAATATATTACTGGCCCCATTCACAATCAGCTAGCATTTATCATGCATGACCTGTGTCTGTTTCATGACCATATAGAGAAAATTTCTCAATTATGCAGGATAAAAAGGGAACCTTTTGTGGCCCTACATCGAAAAACTTGAAAATTCTGCAAGAAAACAAAGGGATCCTTTTCCATGACCTTATAATGAAAACTTCACAATAATGCAAGAAAAAATGGATTCTTTTCATGACCACATAGCGAAAACTTCACAAATTGTGCAAAACAATGAGAGCCTCCTTTCCATGACCATGTAGTGATAACTTCACAATATAAAGGGGGCTGTGGGGTAGCCTCGTGGTTAGAGCGTTCGCTTGTCATGCCGAAGACCTGGGTTCAAATCCCCATATTGGTACAATGTGTAAAGACCATTTCTGGTGTCCCCTGCTGTGATAGTGCTGGAATATTGCTAAAGGTGGCGTAAAACTAAACTTACTCACAATTTTAAGTGTCTGTAGATATAGCAGAAAACCTAAAATGACCTAACACAGATACTCTCAGTAAGATCTGAATGAGTGCAACAAACCCCAAACGACAATTGCAAATTGAATGTCAATATGAGTGACAATTATATATGTGCTTTGGGTTGCCTTCATTAATAATGGTGTAATGAAAAGAATTCTAACCTAAGGCCAGCCATCAATCAAGTATGACTCAGGCAGTTTCAGCTGTCAAAGAGGTACTTTTTGTGTCTATACATTCTCAATTAATTGTACCCTCTCTAATCACAAATGGCAAACTCAGCAATCATAATGACCTTGGTATGTGAAACCTTCCCTGGCATTACAACACATACTTAATATATGTCTCATCAACGTCATGGCTCCTTTGTTGATCTCCTGTCCAGCTCAAACAATGGAGAGCATCTACATGAATTTCGGATAAGTTGATCAACCTGTTGATGCTTATAAGTATTAACTACTCATGGAATATATTAAAACTTCAAACCAAAAAGTACGGAATGTTGGGGATCTATCATGTCATGGGCTCCAAATAGGGATACAAGTACAGGGAGGTCTCCATTAGAAGATAAGTATGGGATATTGGGGACCTATATTGTCCTGGAATCCACAAACTGACACAAATATAGGGGTCCCTCCGTGGGGACACAACTAGGGCTGCAATGATTCGGTTTCGATTCATCGACAATCGAATCTGACACCTTAGTTTGATTTTCGATAACCATTATCACTATTTCGATTTGATATTTGAATATCTATTTAATTTTTTTCCACACAGTGAAAACGTGATTTTGACTCCAAATCGAGCAGTTTTGAGCACTGAAATAAGACAAAACTTAAAAATTAGTTGACGCCAAATTGTCCAATGAGAATTGTTAATAGAAGACATCATCAGGTTTACGATGGATTTCATGCTAAAAAAACACTCTGAGAATTAAATGAAATCTCATGCTTTTACTTATATGAAGAATCGAATCAAAAATGATCGAATTGAGTGTCAAATATCGAAAATCGAATCGAGGTCTGGGTGAATGGCTGCAGCCCAACACACAACTATTGGATGTTGGGGACCTTTTTTGTCCTGGAATCCGCAAACAGACACAGATATGGGATGCTCTCAACGGACACAGAGGTATAGGATTATTGGGGATTTATGTCGTCCTGGAATCGAAATAGGGACACATTTACGAGGAGCTCGCAAAGGGAACACAAGTATGGGATACTCAGGGAACCTATATTGTTCTAGAATTCACAAACGGATACAAGTATAGGGTGCTCAACATAGGGGCACAGGTATGGGATATTTGGGATCTTTATTGTCCTGGAATTCACATGGAACACAAGTATGGGGTATTGAGGACCGATAATGACCTGCAATTCACATGCCTCTTACCAATTTACATGTGACACAAGTCTTGGTACTGAGGCCCGATAATGACCTGCAGTTCACATATGACACAATCTGGGGTTCTGATGTCCTCTGTCCAGACAGGTGACAGAGCACAGACAGGAATCCCACCCTCAATCAATTAATGGATAATCATATGATGGTTGTCTGTCATTAAATGCTGAGTCAGCATGGAAGTTACTGACCTATATTCACAATGGGGACACTTGAAAGGCTTTTCAGGGTCGTGTATTCGTAAATGGCGTTTGAGGTGAGCTTTCCGTGTAAACTTCTTCGAGCATACTGTGCATTCAAACAACACCTCTGCTGGCATATGGACCATCTTGATATGCATCTTCAGGATGTACTGATCCTGAAACATGGGAAGGATACAAGTGAAGAATGTCCGAGAAAGTGAGTGAGTGAGTGAGTGAGTGAGTGAGTGAGTGAGTGAGTGAGTGAGTGAGTGAGTGAGTGAGTGAGTGAGTGAGTGAGTGAGTGAGTGAGTGAGTTTCACACCTAGCAGCTATGATAATAATGACCTTGAAGATGAAAATAACTGGATTATTTTGTACAGTACATGACTTCAAGACTATTAAAAATTCATCCTAAAAATTAAGTCTATCAACAAAGATACTTTTTGAGAAAAATATAACAAATTCTTGTTTAATCTCTTCCTCCAATGATAATAAACATCTGCATATTCTCTAAAAATAAAATTACCAAAATTGCAGGTCAAATTCATTTAAATCTTACAATTGGCTTTTTTCATTGAGATGCAAGGCAATGTTATTTTAAGCAATAAGCAATGTGCCATCAAAATCAGCTTGTCCTGGGCCAGGAAAACCTGTGGTTAATAGCAGGAACAACATCTCATGCCAAGATCAGACACAATAACCACAGAGTCCTCTTATGACAAACAGGCACATATTCCGACACTACATTCCAAGTACAAAATAGTGAACACTGACACTGGAGAATACAACAATTTATCAACACTGCCATCTGAATTATATGACCCAGATCTATTTCAGGACACTGTGTCAGGAATCTTTGTTATTTTCTGGCTACCATGTGACATTCAAAGTTTGTTTTAGCTCCTGGACTGATGCCCAGATAATGAAATACCTGTGACAGTAATGACCATATTGACAGGCACAGCTGACAGTATCATACTTGAACCTGTCTCAGTCATCAATCTCTGTCAATCACCTAGGGGGCCATGTCATAAGTAGTCAGTGTTCATACTTTATCATAATCACTTCGGAGGAAAATAGATTTTGAACTTGTGACATGTTCCTTGATCAAAGCTTTGGATCATGAAACTTGTTCTCCAAGTGAAGATGTTATGGTACCAGCTGGTGCATGGGAATGACCGAAAATAATAATATAGTATTTAATAATTCCACATTCATAACTACTGTGAGAGTTATGTCCCTTTCACGCATTAGGAGAGTTATGTCCCCTATATATATTAGGAGAGTTATGGCCCTATATATATTAGGAGAGTTATGTCCCCTATATATATTAGGAGAGTTATGTCCCCTATATATATTAGGAGAGTTATGTCCCCTTTATGTATTAGGAGAGTTATGTCCCCTTTATGTATTAGGAGAGTTATGTCCCCTTTATGTATTAGGAGAGTTATGTCCCCTTTATGTATTAGGAGAGTTATGTCCCCTTTATGTATTAGGAGAGTTATGTCCCCTTTATATATTAGGAGAGTTATGTCCCCTTTATGTATTAGGAGAGTTATGTCTCCCTCATTTATTAGGAGAGTTATGTCCCCCTTTATATATTAGGAGAGTTATGTCCCCTTTATGTATTAGGAGAGTTATGTCTCCCTCATTTATTAGGAGAGTTATGTCCCCTATATATATATTAGGAGAGTTATGTCCCCTTTATGTATTAGGAGAGTTATGTCCCCTTTATGGATAAAGAGAGTTGTCACCCCTTTCTTTCTTATGATGGTTATTTCCCCTTTACATATATCGAGTAATGAGAGTTATCTCACCTTGTAGACCTTGCCACAGAGATCACAGGTGCAGCCTTGAGCATTGTGTCGCATCATATGTCGCTTGATGATGTAGGCGTGCTCGGCCATGAAGTCGCAGATACTGCAGATACACCGTGGATGTGTGTCCTGTTGGTAGAAGGTACAAAATGTCAGAACCAAGGAATGATCACAACCACTACCGGAACATGGAACCTTCATAATCTGAAAACATGGAGAATCATTGTAAGGAACAAGACATAACATAACATTATTCTAAGTCATATATACTCTTATAGGGGCCCTATTTGCTGAAGAAGATTTCATTAAAAAATATCATTGAAATATTGGTATGAAACTGCTCATATAAATACACAATGCCATTTTAGAAAGTCAGAATTCAGATGGTTGATGTGTACCGGTAACCTTATTTTCGGAAACATGCAACTTGTTGACTTTGGGCAGAATAAGAAAAAAAAAAGATTGCTAAGAGTAGTGCAACTGGATTTTGTTCAAACTCCCAACACATATTCTGATTTTGTTCAAACTCCCAACACATATTCTGATTTTGTTCAAACTCCCAACACATATTCTGATTTTGTTCAAACTCCCAACACATATTCTGATAATGCATTTGTTCAAACTCCCAACACATATTCTGATTTTGTTCAAACTCCCAACACATATTCTGATTTTGTTCAAACTCCCAACACATATTCTGATTTTGTTCAAACTCCCAACACATATTCTGATTTTGTGCAAACTCCCAACACATATTCCGATTTTGTGCAAACTCCCAACACATATTCTGATTTTGTGCAAACTCCCAACACATATTCTGATTTTGTGCAACTCAAGACAAATGTTTTACCATGATTGTTATCACAAGTCTGATTCTCTTTCGATAACACCTGATTACATTCATAATGCTGCATGCATATGTCTTTAAAAAAGCAGATCTAGTGTGACAAAACCACTATCCTTCCCTGTCTTCTTTTGGAGTTAACCAGGTGTAGCACAATTTGGTTCATGAGATTTCACTGTGCACATCAACAATAACATATATTCTTTAATTTATCATTGTGTTTTGTCAACATGATAACAATAACAAATACTTTATGATAATAACAATCATCATCATGGGTGTAACAGTCGTTTTTGAACTGTGTCTGAACTGATGATGTTTCGAGGCACGTCCCAAATATCCTAGATTCTCTTGAAAAAAATAAAGTGGAAGATACCAAAACTGTTACAATGAAGAAACTTCATTTATCATATTCCAGGAATATCACGGAGGATGACACTATAAATGGGTTTCACACATTGCACCCATGTGGATAATTGAAACCCGTCCCTAGGCATGACAAGCAAATGCTTGGACCATCAGGCTACCCTATCACCCCTCTTTGTGATGTGGGGCGGTGGGGTAGCCTAGTGGGTAAAGCGTTGGCTCGTCACACCGAAGGCCCGGGTTCGATTCCCCACATGGGTAAAATGTGTGAAGCCCATTTCTGGTGTCCCCGGCCGTGATATTGCTGGAATATTGCTAAAAGCGGCGTAAAATCAAACTCACTCACTCACTCTTTGTGATGTACAAAATGCATATAAAGGGTCACTGTCATATAAATATTAGCCAACATTTCAGTTGAATGCTTCACTCCTACCATAAACAGAAACTATTGATTTTTTAAGCATCCAATGCTTATGAATAAAAGACCCTTTCAGCCAATCATGTCACTTCATATAAAAATTATCCATTCAGACCAGAAACACAATAAAAAGCAATCTGTGTTTTAAGAATAGCAAAACGGTGTCTTTGTGATGGGGCTTTACAGAGTGCACTCACTATAAAAAAACTCTATAAAACAATGAGGAATGTGCAGCATTAAATCATAAACTTGACACAGATCATTGCCCACGCTTATCATCAAGTATGTCAGCACCAAGCCCAGTAATGCTACAGCATTAGGAAAAACACCCACAGGATATGAGCTGGTACAAGATGTCACTTTCAATGAATATGTGACAATTAAGTGTCATTCCAAAAGCCTTACTCATAGTCTAACTGCCTTGTCAATTTCCCATCACATACCACAGCCTCCTCTTTATAAGGCACCGAGTGCTGCAATCATTCCACAAACACTAAGAGGAAAAAACGTATTTCCCTGCTGTCCGTATTTTTAGAAAGTTATCCAATTTAAACAATTTGGTGCTATGTCATTAGTGTGTTATTGAATATCAGATCAGTACATCTGATGGAGGGCCCACACTTCAGCCATTTCAGCATAATGAAAGCAATAATAATAGCCTATCTATACTGAATAAAATAAAGATCATAAACAGCTTGGAGGTATTTCATGAAAATGTGTGTTCAGTCCTTTCACCACAAACAATACCATTCCGAATTTTCATGAAACCCGAATATATTTTCTTTTGTACTGAGGTAAGAATCTGCAAATATTTTTTTTCCTTTTCTATTTTCTATTTTTCTATATTACACTAAACACGCTAAATCCAAAGACCTTTGCAAGTTTCTCCTTAAAATTCACGTCTTCCGCTCAGCATTCCACTAGACTTTCAGGATTATGTGTATATATGTGCATGGATTTGGTTTTAACTTTGTCATAGCGTCAGTGAGCACCTGTTGACAGATACTAGGGTTTAAGAAATCAATTATTACTTAACTCAGCAAAATATTCTATGTGACAGTGGCTTATAAATCCTGAACAAGGACTGACTGACTGAGTTTGGTTTTACGCCGCTTTTAGCAATATTCCAGCAACATCGCGGCGGGGGACACCAGAAATGACCTGAACAAGGAAGCCAGTGATATAACGTGGGGACGATATGCTTTAAGCAAATTACAGGTGTGACCAACAAGGTGCTGAACACCGCCAACATTGGTGGATTGGGAACCAGTCCTAATCTGGAATTGCCATGGGGTTGGTAGGTTGTTGTTTAACGCCGCACTCGGCATTATTATAGCTACATGGCGGCGGTCTGTGAATAATCGAGTCTGGACCAGACAATCCAGTGATCAACAGCATGAGCATCGATCTACGCAATTGGGATACCAAAGCATGTGTTAACCAAGTCAGCGAGTCTGACCACCTGAAGCCATTAGTCGCCTCTAACGACAAGCATGGGTTACTGAAGACCAATTCTAACCTGGATCTTCGTGGGTCAGCTTATGATCTGACTGTCAGATGCAGGTTGGAGTTATTCCATTTATTACAAACATTCACTACTTTGTCGGTTCCAAGTACATGAAAATACTACAGCCATTTTAGCCACCAAATCCTTACTTAGGTTACACTCCTCAACACACAGAAATCCCAGTACTTTGGACCATTTCCTGATAATGACACCCTCGGGTACAAAAACACTGCTGCGTCAATTGAAAATGAAGTATGATTTGACAAATTATTTGACAAACTATCTACAAAAACAAACATCTATGTATGAAAGCGAATTACTGACAGGAAATCATGTATCAAAGCTCATGTGAGCATAAAGACTATGCAAAACATTTCTCGTGTGTCAATTTCAGTTTTATGACTGCATCAATCTGCAGGGAAACGAAGTGCCGAGGAATTAGGAACATATATATGTTGATGGATATACGGCTTCAAAGAAATCACTGGAGGGGAGGGGCTTGCTGCCATGGAAATGTTCATATGATTGAATGTACATGTGCAAACAATTTTATGAATCACATTCACACATAACAGAAATGGGTTAATTACAGACTATCAACTGGGCCGATTGACACGGATTGACACGGATTGAAGCCTGCTGGCGGATTGTATGATTGATGTGGAAACTTTTTAAACCAAGGAAACAACTGCATTCATCTTCCCACATGAATTCATTGATTTATCTACTCAAAAACAAATGATAGATTGTTTTTCAATGGATTGATAACCTGAAAATGAATATAAATGAGAAGGCTGTTTTAGAAACACTTGTACATACCACTTTCATATTGTATTTTTAAATCTTGTTGATGGAAATTATTAGAATTAGAAACAATTTAATAATCTGTATTTGTACCTATAATATGTGAATGAAAACATAACATTTCCGAAAGATGCAGAAAAAGATGTGTTTCCAACATCTGCATCTGTTTAGTAACGATTCCTCCCCAACACACCACAGCCATGGAGAATGAACTCATTTATTTCTACCATCTTATTTCTCTTTTTAAGTCATACAACTGCTTATGGATTGTTTCATGGTGCAAAAACACTTTATTTCTACTGGTTGAACTCTTAACAAATTGATCAACTTAGTAAAGAGTCTGAAAAGAATTTAGTGTTTGAATATGAAATTTTTAGGGAGAAAATGTTCATACGACAGGTTAAATATATGATATCCAGTTCTGTTTCATTACATCTTTACCATTTGTAGAAAATACAGAGAGGTACTGGTAAAGGGGCATTGATAAAGAGTGTAGGTAATACCATTCCACTTCTGACAGGACTTGGCAGTCAACTGTGACCTTGGCAAGGTCAGTCACGTGTCAGTGGATGTGACCATTTAAACCTGATATTCCAGGAAAGGTTAGCTACCAGCCATGTGAGACCTGGTGTTATGTTAGAATCATGTCTCAATACTGCATGAGTCTTGTTTTGTGCTGTACTACACCAAGTTGCCTGTAACAGCTGCCATATCCAGCCAGCAGGTGCAAGTAAGCTTGGTGACATGATATGACTGTGTCACAAGAGCTGTATCTATGCTACGTATAAGTGCCACATGAGCTGTATGGATGCTAAGTATAAGTGTTACATGAGCTGTATGGAAGCTAAGTATAGTGTTACATGAGCTGTATGGATGCTAAGTATAAGTGTTACATGAGCTGTATGGATGCTAAGTATAAGTGTTACATGAGCTGTATGGATGCTAAGTATAAGTGTTACATGAGCTGTATGGATGCTAAGTATAAGTACCACATGAGCAGTATGGATGCTAATTATAAGTACCACATGAGCTGTATGGATGCTAAGTATAAGTGTTACATGAGTATGTATGGATAAGTGTTACATAAGTATGGATGCTAAGTATAAGTGTTACATGAGCTGTATGGATGCTAAGTATAAGTACCACATGAGCTGTATGGATGCTAAGTATAAGATGTAAGCCACATGAGC